AAGGCTTCTAAATCATTCTTTGGAGGTTAAACTTGAGCCGGACTCCTGTACGTGAGAGAGGAAAGGGTCAAAAAGATTGGTACACACCGTCGATTAAGATCCGACAACTGAAAATAGATTTTATTAAGCCAATGCAAAGAGATGCCCCTCTCAAGCACGGTGCCAGGGCAGAGAAGCACTTACAAACACTTTCATTTTACACAGTGCTTGCGTCTCGTGAGTCTTGAGTGAAGACACGGCTACATTTGTTTTCTTTCATCAAACGTCCAACACACTCACACACGTGCGCTCACAGATACTCGTTTTCACATTGGAGCATGTTTTTAGCAGTTGGCACATGTACATGCAAAGCGTCAAGTTTGGCCTGCGCAGGCAAACTGAGGGAAAAATGGGGAGTCCAAAGAGGGAGGGGGGGAAGGGAGGAGAAAAGATATGTATGTGAACAGAGAAACAAACAGGCTCTCGAACACCTTTGGGTGTTTAAAAACACCCCCGTCTCTGATCCTGCCCCCGCCCCGTGTCACACGTTCATAGCAGCACCAGAGGAGCCCTCTGATTGGTGGGTACTAAGTCAGTCAGTTTCAAGGATGAGTGGCGGTTGCTCGTTCTCTTCCTCTAGGCGCAAGTCATTGAGGTCATCGTCTAGCCCCGCCCCTCCCACAGCTCCCTGCTCTTCACAGTAACCTAGGAAACAATAAGCGGTGGAAGGTCCTTTATTACATAATGATAAAGGTATAATTCCTCGATAGAGATAGAGATAGATAGATATATATAGATATAGATAATCTCCAAATGACATCGTCCTTTCCAACAAACCTTGGGTAAAAAGTGTTTGAGTGACATACCTTTAGTGACAGCAGCACTGTAGGTTTGGGCCACAAGTGGGCGGTCATGTGACTGCTCAAGGATCTCACTGCCTGGCTCAGCACTGCCGTCCAACCTGAAGAGATTAAGGAGCAGAAACTCTCAGTACAACGCTCAAAACATCCGGCTGTTGGTTGTGTAAAAACCTCACACGGTGTTCAGCGACCCGTTCATCACACTCTGTGTGTGCGTGTTACCTGTGCTGCTTCATAAGTGTGCACTCCCCTCCCTCTTGTGGATCCAGGTTGTACAGATACAGGTAACCATCAGCCGCTGCCACCAACAACCTAGGAATCTTCTGAATCCTGATTTTAAACCACAAAAACAAAAGATTCACAAGTACGTTAGTTCCATTTAATGATGAAGACGGGCCTTCAGCTACCACGGCTTGTATGCTGCTGTCGTTTGGATCATGGTTATCTTTGGCTGAAGTAATGATCTGCAGCACTCCCTCATCAAATGGCTCTATTACAGCCTGATATAACTCAAAATGATGAGGACTCCTTTATGTTCATGTATCCAACATCCTGTCGGATAAAACTCAGGGCCACAGGAGGTTAAGTGATTCAGCAGCTGAACTGGTAGTTAGCATGACTGCGTTAGTTAACAGCATCAGCTGGATGTTAAACATCACAGATGATGTCCGGGGACAAAATGATCTCAGTGACCAAAACATGAAGAACACGTCACAGACGAGGTGACCATGATGTTCTTATTTTTCAATAATAAATGAAAAGCAGACTGGCACTGAGTCATGCATATTACTTCTGATTCCACTTTCACGGCATGTTTTAAGCGGCAGGGCCCATATAACAACAACAACAAACAAACAAAAACACAACAGCATTGTGTGTGTGTGTATACTCACACAGCTAAGGCGCAGATGTTCTTATGTCCACAGAAAGGCAGACGTACGGTAGCAAAGGCTCGCCCCTGGGTGAACATTTCCGTAACCTGAGAAGGTAGGTAGGTGGTGGACGCCATCAGGACCTTGCCCAGGTACCCTCCCCATGTGGTGGGCTCCTCCGCCGGCCTACACACACACACACACACACACACACACACACACACACACACACACAC